GTTGCCTTTTCAGCATATCTGAGTGTTGGGGTAAAATCTCAAATAATAATGATGGGTCTTATGTCAAAATATTGAATGTCATTAAAGTAGAGAGAGAGTAATGTGGAAATCATCTGCCCCACAGGTGGGGGGAGGATGTGGGATGGGAGTATACTAGGGTTTTTGGTGGTGGAGAATGGGCACTGGTGAAGGTATGGGTGTTTCATTGTATGACCAAGACTTAGACCCAAAAGCTTTGTAACTGCTCTCATGGTGATTCAATAAATAAAATTATAAAAAATGGGGAAAAAATACACCTCAAGGACTGTGAAAGAATATTTGCCAACCATTCACTTGACAGAGGGTAATAAAACACTTAACACTTAAGGGTTATAAAAACTAAGCAAGAAAACAAAATATGGGGAGAAGCAATAAACAGAAACTTCCTTAAAGAAGACATAAAGATGTTCCATAAATATATGGAAAAAATGGTCTTTTATCACTTGTCATCAGGAAAATGAAAATTGAAACAACACTGAGGTATCATACTGGAGAGACACACATCACAAAGAATGAAAATAATCAGTGTTGGAGTGGGTGCAGAGGAGAAAAGAAATGCTCACCCACTGGTGGTAGGAATGTCAGCTGGTTCAACCTTTTTGAAAAACAATATGAACTCCCCCCAAAAAAATCAAGAATTGAACTTCCATGTGACCCGGCAATTCCACTCCTTGATATCTACTCTAAGAGCCCCAAATCTACTCAGAAAAGACATCTGCACTTTGATGTTCATTGCAGCACTATCAACAATGTTCAAAAAATGGAAACAACCTGAATGTTCAGAATAGATGAATGAATAAAGAGCCTATGGTATATATACGCAATGGGATACTACTCAGCTATAAGAAAAGAGCCAATTATACCATTTGCTGCCACATGGATGGAACTGGAAGATGCCATGCTCAGTGAAGCGAGTTAGAAAAGGGTCAGATATAGAATGATCTCTCTCATAGAGTGAATATAAAGAAGCATAGTAAGGGCCAAATGGTCAAAGACAATAGAAACCAAGATCTGGTCTACATAGCTGAGTTTATTAGGGCAGGGTGACAGCAGGGAGTTAGAGGACAGTGTAGGAAAGAGTGATCCAAGATACCAGTGAGAAATGCAGGCTCTGGGGAAGGATGTGTTGTTGTAATACTGTACACAAGAAACCCTACCCTATTAGTAACAGTATTGTAAATTAAGGTAACTAAGTTTTTCTTTAAAAGAAGACAGTTGAATGCTGGAGTGATAGCACAGTGGGCAAGGCATTTGTCTTGCACGCAGACGACCTGGGTTCAGTTTCCAGCATCCAGCATGGTCCCCTGAGCACTGCCAGGAGTAATTCCTGAGTGCAGAGCCAGGAGTAACCCCTGTGCATCACCAGCTGTGACCCAAAAAGCAAAAATAAATAAATTAAATTAAATAAGGCAGTTGATGGTGTAATTCATCAATACTTCATAAAATTCAGTTGTGAATATCTGTTTGATTACTATGATTTGGCAAGTTAATGAGTTTAACCAAGACTGAGTTAAATCTTAATGTGGATGTTGTTTGATACCTTTGTTTATGTAAACAAGGGAGAATAATGTAAAACAATGAAGAGAAGTTGGGATTAGTTTATCAGTATCATAATTAACTTCCTTGCAGAACTGGATAATAGTTTTTAAGTAGTTGAAAACCGTTTCCTCAATATTTTGTGGTACTTAACAAAATGGGTAAAGGGAGCTGGTTAGTTATTGATGAATGAAAGCTAGATTAGGTGGTGATCACAGAGATGCTGAAGTATTTTTGTACACTTTATGTGTATATTCAAGACTAAAGAAATAAATAACAAGAGGCCAGAAAGAGTGTGCAGGGGATAAAGTGTTTGGTTTGCATGCAGCCAACTCCTATTCAATCCCTGACACCTCATGGTGCATGAGCACCAATAGGAGTGACTCATGATCACAGGGCCAGGAATAACCCCCAAGAACCAGAGGGTCAAAAAAACAAAAAATAAAACAAAGTAACTCTTAGATTGTAAGAATAAGATACAGGCCACCAGAGGCCAAAGGGGATAGGAAAATTAGATAAAAGGGTCAATTACATGGCAGTAGATGGAAACTAGACTATTGATAGAGTGTAATGTAGCAGTATAGATGTTAGATTATAATGCTGTCTTTCTGAAACCTCTAGATTATAATGCTGTCTTTCTGAAACCAATGTCAATTAATATAAATTTTAAATGAAATAGAAAAACTCATGGCAAAAATGTATTACTCATGGGGTAGAATGGTAGTACAGCAGGTAGGGAGTTTGCCTTGCATGCAGCCAACCCGGGTTCAATCCCCAGCATCCCATATGGTCCGCCAAGCACCACCAGGAGTAATTCCTGAGTAAAGAGCCAAGAGTAACCTTTGAGTATCGCTGAATGTGACCCAACCCCAAAAGCCGAAAAAAGATAGTATTTTTTTTTAAAAAGCACAGTAATTTTAATTTGCAATATTAATATTTTCTCATCTCTTAGAATCTAGACCAGAGCAGTTGAACTGTGTTAAAGTTCAAATCATAAATATTTTTGGTTGTTTAGGAATGCTCTCATTGTATATTTTATCCCAAAGGGAGCCATAGGCAATATGTGAATAAACAGATTTGACTATGTGCCACTAACATTAGTTTCATGCCTTGCAGAGCTAAAACACACACTGTACATGTGTGCATGCATGAGGTGTGGGTTGGATCCCAAACTGCACCACCAGAAGCAAGCCCAAAACAATGCACTGGAAATAGTCCTTGAGCACTGCTAGATGAATGCCCTCCCTCATCTCACGTCTCCCCCTCCCCAAAAGAAGATTTTTGTTTTTTCACTTTTTAGGTCATATCCAGCAATGCTCAGGGGTTACTCCTGGCTCTGCACTCAGTAATTACTCCTGGCGGTGCTCAGAGGACCATGTGGGATGCTGGGAACTGAATCCGGGTTGGCCGCATGCAAGGCAAATGCCCTACCTGCTCTACTATCGCTCTGGTCCCCAAGAAACTTTTTAAAGCTTCAAAAACAGGTCATACATAAAGTAACAAAATAGGAGATTAATACCCAAGAATAGCTGAGATCAGTACCAGGAGGATTACTCCATGGCTTAGAGGCCAGCCGGGCATTCTAGGGGAAAGGGCAGCTCAGATAGAGAAGGGAGCACCAAATAAAGGGTGTTTGGAGGATACTCCAAGGATGGGAGATACATGTTGAAAGTAGACTATGGACTGAACATGATTGCCACTCAATGCCTCTTTTGCAGACCACAACACCCAAAAGGAGAGAGAAAACAAAAGGTAATGCCCTGCCACGGAGGCAGGGTGGGATGGGGGGCATGTGGGTTGGAGGGATACTGGGATCCATGGCGGTGGAAAATGGGCACTGGTGGAGGGATGGGTATTTGATCACTGTATAATCGAAACCCAAGCACAAATATTTGTAAGTCTAAAACTGTACTTCATGGTGTTTCACTAATAAAAATATAAAAAAAAAAGGTCATAAATTGAATTTAAACTCACTAAACTCAAGTGAATGCTAACTTGTAGGGTTTCCTTCCTTCCTTTCCCACCCTCCCTTCCACCCTTCCTCCTCCCTCCCTTCTTCCCTCCCTCCCTCCCTCCCTCCCTCCATTCCTTCCTTCCTTCTTTCCTTCCTTCCTTCCTTCCTCAAAGTGCTTGGGTGTTACTTCCCAGGCCAGGCATTAAACTGGGGCCCCTTGTGTGCAAAGCCTGTGCTCTAACCTGTTCAGCTATCTCCCCAACCCTGTGTTTGCCAATTTGTTGTTGTTGTTGTTGTTGATGTTAAAAATATTTCTATGGTCCCAGATTTCAGATTACTGATATCACATCACAGAATATGACACTGGGAAAGAGTGTGAGTATCAAATCTTTATGTTGTAGTTCACCCTTGAAGATAGAATCAATGGGAGCACCGATGCAGTAAAATGTTGGCAAATAATTAGTTTGAGTGTGCTGTTTAGACTATGATTTACTTAAGTTAGGTCACTTAGTTTTGAATAATGGCAATATGAAACAATAAACCTTCAGAATTCCTGGATTTGAGTGGCAGTTTTGAGTTTGTGCAAGTAGCTCCAGCCCGGGGCTCTACAACAGACAAGGTCTACAAACTGTCTCAGCTTTTCAAGCATATTAACTTTATCCTCCTAACAACACAGAGAGGAGGCTTGTCCCTACTGTCAAAATGCAGGAACAGAAGCACAGAAGTTCATTGACACTTTATTATAGAATGGTTTCAGAAGAGACGATCTGACTTACAAGCCTAGTAATGCACTTAGCCTTTTAAAAATGCTATATTACATCCCAGAGTAGCTGACCTAGCTTGGACCCAGTCAGCTAGCTAGCGCCAGTGAGTGGGAAGATAGTAAGGTCTGTGCTCAAGAGTTTTATGGCTACTTCGTTCACACTTAACATGCCCCCTGGCTTTAAATATATACACTTGCTTCTTCAAATATCATGCACTTGATGTCTTTTGTTGTAGATGCCTCCACTATCTTTCCACTTTACCTTCCATCCCACCCTTGTCACTTGAATTCGATCTCTACCAAAACAATTTGGTGCTAGTTGCTTTACACATAATTGATTCGTTTTTATATTTAACCTTTGTAGAAGAAATGTGTATAAGAGCTGAAGTCCTGCATTTAAATGCCACTTTGTTGTCTAGCCTATAAATGCAGTGACTTTTACCCTGCCAGATGGTCGTGAGGATCGAATGAGCTCACATACAGGTGAGGTGATAGATCTGAATTAGCATCACGGGGCCATCACGCAAATGAGGAGTTAGATTAGCTAAGAACTAACAAATGTCTTCCATTCCCTCCAATTTTCTCTCTTCCGTCATTCATCCGAAACTAATGGCATTGCTGAATGTCCTTCAGAATGGGAATGACTGACCTGCCTTCCTCTCTCCCTTCTTCCCTCATTCCATCTCTCCCTCCCTTCCTTTCTTACAGTCTGTTCAGCAAACGAGGACATAGCAACTGGGAACTTGTACTGGCTTCCCTGTGACAGAGGCACCATTTGGAAGACTAGAATGTCTGACCATGACACACGTACCCTCCACAGAATGGGCAGCATTATACTGCACCTTCTTCTTGATTGGCCCAAGAGGGTGCTCTACTGGGTAGAAAGTGGGAAACACCTGCAAAGTATGATTTTTTATGGCAAAAGGATACAGGAAATCTGGAGCCTCACCTGGGCAACAGACACCCACATGGCCTTAGACCTTGGTTCATCTAGCATCCTCTGGGTGACCAAAGGGTTAGGTAAGCACCTCACAGCACTGCAGCTGGAAGAAACTTAAGAACATATTTTAGTATAATAATCTTAGTCCTTCTTAGAGCTTGCTAGAGTTTCCATTTGTGATTTCCATAGATGGAGCAGATGGAGCTTGGCACAAGTTTCCTCAAACTCAGTTCTCAGCTATAAGTCTAGAATTAAAATTTATTTATTTATTTTGCAGTTTGCCTTGCACGCGGCCGACCCCGTCAGCCCAGGTTTGATTCCTCTGCCCCTCTCAGAGAGCCCGGCAAGCTACCGATAGTATCTTGCCCATATGGCAAAGCCTGGCAAGCTACTCGTAATGTATTCGATATGCCAAAACACAATAACAATAAGTTTCACAACAGAGATGTTACTGGACCAGCTCGAGAAATCGATGAACAACGGGAGGACAGTGACAGTAACAGTGATTTATTTTGCAATTTGTATACATTCAGAGTCCCCTGCCCCCGCACCTGGCTGTCCTCACCAGGGTCCCTTGGAGGGGGGTGGTTTGAGTTGCCGGGGCTCTGCTCGGGGTGGGGAGGGAAACTCAACCCACCTCCCTCTTAGATGCCCCGGTGAAGACAGCCTAGCACAGGGGCAGGAGATTCTCTAGAATTAAAATTTAAAGGCTGAAGATTTCAGAAACAAATTATTGTTTGTTTTGTTTTTTGGCTACATCTGATGGTACTCAGGGCTCTACTCTCAGAGATCAATCCTGGAGAGCTCAGGGGACCATATTGGGTTCCATTGATCAAATTCAGGCAAGGCCCTACCTGCTGTACCCCAGAAGTAAAGTTTTAATAACTTCTGCAGTTCTTAGAATTTGTTTCAACTTAGCGAATGCAAACTGCCATTTGAAGGAAAGTGTAAATACTGCTGTTACAACATAAGAGAAATAATACCCTTGAATTCAACTTAGGCAACCTTCCCACTCAGAAGCCATCCTTGAGGGCTGACAGAATTTTGGTGATGGTGGATGTTTAGTGTACTGGAATACAGTAAGGAACATCTGCTTGTTACATGTACCAGGTTTCAGCCTGTATTAGAGCTCTCAATGTTACATTGTAAAGAAAACCTGGGCTAAATACTCAATGGAATACTACACAGTTATCAGAAAAGATAAACTGCCTTCTGTAACAACTTGGATGAAACTTGAGGTGATTTTGCTAAGCAAAATATGTCAGAAATTTAAAGAAAAATAGATTATTTAATTTATAAGAGGAATATAAGCAGAGCATAAAAATAACTCTTAAGCTCTGTGATAACTATAGTGACCAAAGAGGAAGGGAAAATGAGGGTGGGAAGAATGGATAGAGGACATCAATTTGAAGCTGAATGGCACAAGAATTTTGTGATGGTGCAGTGAAGTACTTACATTCATCAAGTTCTGAAGCTCTACTCCCAAATTTTATATAGTATCATAAATTATGGTAAGTATTTGAATCATCATCATTTATATCATTGGGATTTTGTTGTCACACATGAATGTCACACATTATTCAGGAGCTATACTTGGCTCTGTGCTCAGGAGAGACCCTTGGCAATGCTTGGTAGAACATATGTGGTGCTAGGGATTGAACAAGGGCTCTTGCTGCTTTCTTTCCAACCCTATCATTATTAAGTATCATTAGTAAATTGAATTTTTAGAATAACATTTAAATAAATGATTCCTTGGAGTGTGTGGCTACATTTGCGGCCATGCAGTATCTCAAATTCTACACCACTCTTATACCAGGAGTAGCAGACCACATTGGATAGGATGTATAGTAAAAGGCAACCAATCTCAGTTAAGAAAATATTAAGGCTTAATCTATAACAACATGTTAGTAATCTTTCATACAAGGGTTTAATGACTCCAGGGTAAGATGCAACAATTTTACACACTTTCTTCTAATGAAATCTTTTTTGATCATTTTTAGCAAATTACTCATAACAAACAATATAAAATAAATTATTTAGGGCCTGCTATTGGGGCAGGTTTGGTTGGTTCAGAAAATTAGAAATAATGATGTTGGGAGGATACAATGGTGGTAGATTTGGTGTTGGAATATTAAAAATAATAAGTCACTGTGAACAACTTTTTAAATTTCTTATTTTTTTTAATTTTTATTAGTGAAACACCATAAGGTACAGTTGTGGACTTACAGGTTTTTGTGCTTGGGTTTCAGTTATACAATGATCAAGTACCCATCCCTCCACCAGTACCCATTCTCCACCACCACTGATCCCAGTATCCCTCCCACCCCCCATCCCCCCATCCCACCCTGCCTCTGTGGCAGGGCATTCCCTTTTGTTCTCTCTCTCCTTTTGGGTGCTGAGGTTTGCAAAAAAGGCATTGAGTGGCAATCATGTTCAGTCTATAGTCTACTTTCAGCACGCATCTCCCATCCTGGGAGGATCCTCCCAACACCCTTCTCTATCTGAGCTGCCTTTTCCTCTAGCGTGTGTGGCTGGTCTCCAAGCCATTGAATAAACATCCTGGTACTTATCTCGGCTGTTCTTGGGTGTTAGTCTCCTATTTTGTTACTTTATCCGTGAACAACTTTATAAAAGTAAAATCAAATTAAAATCAATAAATAAATGGTTCCTTGGGTTATCATAAAAAAATTAAAACCTACAGAGCACAATAGAAAACTTTGTGCTTATTTTCTATTTAAAGCCATTAAAATGCAACCTCATGGTGCTTGAGACTGCGGGTCACTTGTTCTGCATCAGTTCATAAGACTTGACTCTTCTTTAGGAGTGCAAAGTCTAAGTCCCTTCAAAAATAGAACTTACACCTTGAACAAGAACTGGAGTGATGGGCTGCTGGCTGCACATGCAACCTACCTGGTGACAACGAACAGAGCAGCCCTCATACTGTGGGACAGGAGGATTCTGATACACTGCTCCGTTTCAAAGGAGCCATCTGTAAGGAAGATCATCATCCTGGCAGAGAATCAGCAGATTCCAGACAAGACTTCCCACTAAACCTAGCTCGCCTCAGTGTGCTTCACTAGAACACTGTGAACATCTTTGTGCTCGTATTAGCTGTACCCCAACCCATACCTCCACAGAGCTTCTCCCTAACTCGTCTATGTCATAGGAAAGAGGAAACATGGAGCACGGGTCTCCAAGTGACTAGAGAACACAGTATCCTGAGTAATTTGACCAGAAGGTCACATGCCTCAGCTCATCTTGCTTATGACCTAACAAAATCTTAGCCTAGCATAAAGAGACCCATTCAATTGTTCTTAGCTAGTTTCCTGAGCTGATTTGACAGGAATCCCTTTGTTTTTGATAGGAATCCCTTTGTTTAATACAGAGCAATTACATCTGGCAAAAACCCCACTGTGATAGTGGTCTGATTGCCAGGAATAGTAGGGTTCTGTTAAAGCTGCAGCTTAATCATGCATTATCCTGCCTTAGACATGTTTACTTACTTCCTTTCATATAAGATTTTGGCACAGGGCCCCCAAATCTAATCCTGAATCTTGAGACAGAAAATGGAGTCCTATTACAGAGTTCAAAGTAGTGTTTTAGCAAAAAGAAGCTGGAAGTCCCAAGGAAGAGGAGAAAAATGGGACAGAGCCGTTTTTCTGTGTTTTCCTTCCATTGAGATTTCACTCTTCCTCAGTCCTAATTCTTATACTTATAATGTTTACTGGTTCATTTAACCTGGTCTTAAGGATTAAGAGGAAGTAGGCATAAGGAAATATGGTGGTAAAGTGAGCCAACAAGGAGCTAAAGTTTTGCTAAAAATCTAATTTTAATGACTAGCACAGCAGTAGGGCGTTCGCCTTATAAGCGGCCAACATGGCGACCCGAGTTCGATTCCTCTGCCCCTCTCGGAGAGCCCAGCAAGCTACTGAGAGTATTCGATATGCCAGACACAGTAACAACAAAGTCTCCAATGGAGACGTTACTGGGCCCGCTCGAGCAAATCGACCTTTACCTTTACCTTTACCTTACCTTATAATAGATCACTAGGTTGCAATTGTTGCTGTAGAGTACTAATTGGTCATTTTTAGTAGTCTAAATTAAATGTCTCAATAAATGGGAATGGTGTGAGGGACATAACTCAGTGCACTGAGCACATGCTTTGCGTGTGAGATTATGCAGTCTGTAGTATTGCATCATTTCATGAGCATCATTATAGGCATTATAGGTATAGCACTATTATCATTATAGGTATAGCATATTATAGGTCTGGAAGAAGAAAAAATTATTCAGATTCGATATCACTGTAGCACTGTCCTCCTGTTGTTCATGGATTTGCTCGAGCAGGCCCAGTAACATTGTGAGACTTGTTGTTACTGTGTTTGGCATATCAAATATGTCACAGGGAGCTTACCAGGCTTTGCCGTGCGGGCAAGATACTCTCAGTAGCTTGCCAGGCTTTCTGAGAGGGGCAAAGGAATTGAACTCAGGTCGGCCAGGTTGGCCACATGCAAAGCAAACGTCCTACCCACTGATGAATAATATTAACTGTAGCGCATTTATAGTGGAAGAATCTTGGCTTTGAGTGAGTATCACTTTACCTTTCTTTGAGGAAGCCCTTCAGGCTTAGGTTTCCTCAGAGGGAGGCAGGAGACTGTATGTTCATGGCCGTGATGGAGAGGAGTAACATTCTATAGTAACTGCTTATTCTAGATCCCGAGGTGGAAGGAGTAGCCCTGAGCACACCACCAAGTCCTCCCACCATGTACCTCTACTTTGTATTGACTCCTCTGTACCTTGTCAGAATGGGAAGGAATGCATTTCTCAGGAGAAGCTCTGTGATGAGGACCCGAACTGTGAGGATGGCTCTGATGAAAGGAATTCTTCCCAGATCTGGAATAGACCAGGTATGTCAACGCATTCTACTCACAGTTCTTCTGCCCAGGTAAACTGGCTCAGCATTTGAGGCCTATTAGGAGTGCCCAAACATTTACTATAGTCATACTTGCCTTTCCTAGGTAAAATCTTGTTAGATAAGTAAAGTAAGTAAAGTAAAGGCCCTCCCGTTGATCATCGATTTGCTCGAGCGGGCCCAATAATGTCTCCATTGGAGACTTTTGTTGTTACTGTGTCTGGCATATCGAATACTCTCGGTAGCTTGCCAGGCTCTCCGAGAGGGGCGGAGGAATCGAACTCGGGTTGGCCGTGTTGGCTGCGTGCAAGGCAGGCGCCCTACCCGCTGGGCTATCGCTCCAGTCCCTGTTAGATAAGAGTAAGTACTAATTTGTGAGAATTCTGACTTTTGTGAGAATTATGACTCTGTGTTCCCATTTGATCACATTTACATGAAGTGTTTCGCCAGGTACAATTTGACCATGGCTACCTGACCTCTCACATTTGTCCCCTACTCATCTGGCAAGGGGCTGTACAGCACTTGTAAAACTTAACAAGAAATCAAAAACCAACCCCACAAGAATATGGGGGGGGGGAGAGATGAACAGAAACTTTCTCAAAGAAGACATAAAGACATTCAATAAATATATGAAAAAAATGCTCTCCATCACTTATCATCAGGGAAATGCAAAACAAAACAAAAAATTATGTCTCACTTCAAACCAATGAGACTGGCACACATCACAAAGAACAAAAATATGTTCTTTGGGGCACATTAACTTATTAACATATCAACATATGTTAATATTAGCATATTAAGATATTCTTAGAAGCTTTGAATCCTAAGTACTTCAATATTTAACTTTCTATAATCTGGACCGTGGAACAATCTTAAATAGAAAATGCAAAACAGACTTCAGAGTGATCTAGTGAGTTGCTCTAGGAACCAAACAAATGTGAAGTCTTTTTATATGAACACACTGGCTCAGCTTACTCTCCTGATCTGAGCACTCTGCAAAAGTTTTCTTCTAGATCCAAAATAAGAGATAGAACTCAAGCAAGTAAGAAGCAGTCTATTTGACAAACTCTAGCTTAAAATTGAATCAAAACCTGAAACTCCTGTTTTGCTTTATATATGGTGCTGCTTTGGGCCCCTCCCATTTCAGGCATCTTCCTGTGCCTGGTGGGAGACAAGTGCATTGAGGAGAAATTCCACTGTGATGGGGCTCAGCAGTGCATGGATGGGTCTGACGAGCTGGACTGCTGGAAGCCCATGGAAGATTGCTCTTTGTGCTGTGACAACAGGACTCGCTGTATCCTTAAGTCTTGGCTATGTGATGGTAACCCAGACTGTGCCGACAGAAAAGACAAACAAGGATGTAATAAGTTAATGAAACTGCCTTGGGGTGTTTAAACCAGGGCCTTCCATCCTTTTACACCCATAGATGAGCACTAGACAATAGACCGATGGGTGAAAACCATTGTTTTAAACTATGTTACATTACCATTGATTCTCCTTACTCTTAGGACAAATATAGGATGAGGTTCCTGCAAGTTGCTTGTGAGAACATTTTTGTCAACTCATCAATATTCATCAGTACATCTAGTTGGCTCATTAACACAGAGCTCAACCAGTAACACATATATCTGAACAAAGCTGGCCCTACACACATGTTTAGTCTAAAGAGCACATAATATTGTACTCAGAACCACTTCAGTGCTACATTTGGAGGACATTTAAACAGCAAAAGCACCTGAAAAGTCCAAAACGGTGAAAGCATGACCAGAGATGGACTGCAAATGGTCACTTGTTTATAGTGTAAGAACTAAAGCCAGAGGCAAAATATAACGTTATTCAACCTCAGTTGGGAAAATAATTGGCTGGCAACTCATATTTTTTCATATTGTATATCTCAGCAAATACAATGGAAGTCGGTTAGAATTGATTTAGGGAGGGGTTTAAAGCCAATTTTAGGGAGCTGGAGAAATAGTACAGGGCTTAAGGTATTTGCATTCAGCTGAATCCAGTTTAAATCCCCAGCACTGCATATTGAGCACTGCCAGGAGGATCCCTTAGCACAGATTCAAGAGTAAGAACAGCCGTATATGATCCAAAAACTAGAACCAAAACCATCCCAACCATTTTAGTAAATAATATGAATGTGTAAATAATGAATCCACAAATAATAAGGATTGAGTTACTAAAGATTTAACAGACTAAAGTGTCAGGGTGATAGTACAACAGGTAAGGCACTTGCTTTGTATCACTGACCTGGGTTTGATGTCCAACATCAGGTCCCTTGATGCATAGGCAGGAGTGATCCCTACACACAGAGCCAGGAGTAAGCCTTGAACATTGCTGGATATGCCACCCACGACCAAAAGCCATCACTACCATCACCACCAAGAGTTAATAGAATAAGATGAAGGGAACTGAGGTAAAAGGATCTTAGGTATTATTCCTTTACACACCTCACTCAACAGCAGGAAGATTTCCAGGAGCAAAGAACCAGTTTGATCATCAAAGGAAGTATTGTTTTTTTTTTTTGTCGAGCTAAAATTCATTTCCTTGAAGATTTAAATCTGGATCTTAGGTCTTCTCACATAATGGATCATCTCCTTTGTTGGTGTCAAAGCTTTCCCCGTCTTTGTATTTGTCTACTTGATTTGGGGACTGTGCTCAGGGGACAAGGAAATGTTGGGGACTAAACACAGGCTCCTGCATGGAGTGAATGCACTCTAGCTCATTGAACTCTCCCCTCATTTTCATAAGATAGACCATCTCTACTTTTTATTCTTCCTAATGACATCCTTCAAAGGTCTTAATCATCTTGTGAAATTAGAGTAGAAAGAACAATTTGGAGAACTAAAGAGGGCAGAAGTGGAGAGTGGGTTAGGCATGATGAAGTAGAGGGGACTCAGTAGCCAGCACATTGGTTGCACTTAGGATTTCAGGAAGAAAAATCTACAGGAAGGACAGAGCCAAAGGGACAGTGTACTTCCTAATACCTATTTATAGTTTTGCCTGAGACCTAACCCTTTAAGTTTTTTC